GACATTAGGTCCTCATTTTTCCCCTCCCTCCCTGCTCCCCCCTCCTGCATGAGCCCTTGATAGTTTATAAATGGGTATTTTGTCATATCTTGCCCTGGACCGCTCTTTCTCCCAGCAAGAGTACCCTCTTCCCCGTTCTACTCGCCTGTGATCTCCCGTACTGTCCGGAAGACGTTGAGTTTCTCGGGGTCCAAGGCGGGGATCTTGCGCCAGGGGTCTCTGGGGAGAGTGGTGGGAACCAGTGGACAAAGGAGAGGTAGCAAGGAGCACACCTAGCTGCTAACTATCATTCTCCTTTGCCAAGACTCAGGGAGGGCCCTCCTTGGAGAAGGGGTTGGGGTCTGCAACATCTTGCACCAAAAGGAAGCAAGTACTTAAAGAATGAAGTGTACAGACCCCAAGAGTCTAGTTAAAGGAGGTTCCCACTGGCCAACACAGGTACAAAAGAATAAGAGATGTAAAGGCTTTTTTTAAGTTGCTGTCAAATAGATACACAAAATTGAATGAAATCAATATCCACACACTCAGACATACATATTTGCTGCCATTAAGTCAATGCCAACTCATAACAACTCTCTAGGACAGGCAGAACTGCCCCCAGGGGCTTCCACGACTGGACTCTTCCTGGGGTAGAAAATGGCACCTTTCTCCCCCGGAGCTGCTAGTGGTTCCAAACTGCTGACGGTGTGGTTAGCAGCCCACACATAACCACCGCACCACCAGAGCGCTCCTGACACGGATACACACATTGCGAAGAAGGGAGTCTCTTCCTAACATTAGAATGGCAACCAGCAATGCAGAACAATAGAGTTAGAACACCGGCATAGTCGTTGATTCAGGCAAACATCACTTCACAGGTAATTGATTAATTGTAAAGAGAAAAATAGTGGCTTTATAGTGGAGAACCCTGGCAGACCATCTCTTAACCAAGTGGCAGGAGATCTCAGGGGCCAGGACAGACTGACGGCGGTGCCTCCTCGACGGAGCACTGAAAACACAGGCACGCTGTTGCCACCAATGAGATGGAACCAGCTCTGAGCGCGCGGAAACATCAGGCAACACCAAGGAACGCTACCACGCGCCCGGCCTGCGCTCATCAAAACTGCCAACCGCAGGGAAGACAGACAAACACTGAGAAACATTTCCAGATGAAAAAAGCAGCAGTCACACCTGCCCCACTGCGGTCCAGTGGATCCTGGCAGAGGACGGGGTAAAACTGCCCCACAGAGCCTGCAGGGCGGTCAGTGATCACCAGGCAGGCAGATGGCCGCCTCTTTCTCTGTCAGGATGGCTGGTGGGTTTGACATACACACACACACATATGGTTCTGCATAGGAAAGGCCTGGTGGTCCATTTCCATAAAGGTTACAGCCAAGGAAACACGACCCAGCAGTCCTACTTTCTAACACCTAGGATTCGTGATTGGTTTGACTCAATTTTCAGTGGGTCTCGGGGCACTTAAACCGCTGTACCATTAGCGCAATGAGAGAGACCACAGACACGGGACCGTTGACTTAACCCAGGAGTCTCGTTTACCAGGAAGCACGTCAGTGGAAGAGTTGGGGACATCAGAGTAAAGCTTGTGGCCTAAGTGACATTGTAAGCCATGCTGGCTCCAGGTAAAGGATGCTACTGTGTTTATGTTCTTCTTTGGGAACGCATACCGAAAAATCACAGGGACAAGGTTTCTAGAAGGGAGAGAACCCGTCATATGAGGACACCGCTCTCTAGTTGTTGAGAACAACACTAGCATGCATAACACACACACACACACACACATACGTATGTATATGCGCGCATGTGTGATAGGTGGGGGGGCTTCAGAAAGTTTGTGCGAAATGGAATAAGGTAATGGACCTTCTGAAGGTCTCTTCCACAGGTGAGGGTCTCTGGGTAGTATACAGGGTTTGTGCTCTACTGCTTACCTAAACTTGGCGGTTGACACCTGCCCAATGGTGCTGTGTAGGAAAGGCCTGGTGGTCCATTTCCATAAAGATTACAGCCAAGGAAACACGACCCAGCAGTCCTACTTTCTAACCTAGGATTCCCG